GATAGAAATGAATAAAAAACCCTATAACCCGAGCACTTTCGAAAGTTGGATCTTTCCCAGTTTGCCCCTGAATAAGAAAGGTCCACCTTTCGAAAGTGCTCGGGTTATAGGGTTTTTATTCATTTCTATTATATGTTTATAGATAGTTATTATTTTTATTATATTGACCTTTCAGCCATGCCTGGCTAATAATACAGAAGTTACAATGTCGTGGTACACGTGCTCTTATGTTACAGTATCTAAAAATATAAAACTGATCTTTAATCTTTACAAAGTGACCTGTCTTGGTTGTTTTTTTTATAGACTAGTATTTTGTAAAATACAGTCACATTTCTGTTATTATACATTACATATACGTATATATATATATATATCAAGCTTAGTGACTAAGCTGTATTTCAGTCTAAAGAAATAAGAAATTTTGGGCAGACGAAAGACACAACCTACCTCAACAAAATCTTGGTTCAAAAGAAAGAGATGGAGTCCAAACAAGTTAAAATGACTGAGAAAGCCATTAGGGGGACATTCTGAGCTTTCAAACGATTATTCATGTCATATATTGAAGTAAGTGTATATAAGGGACTGTTTCGAAAAATGGAAAGAGGTGAGTGGGGCTACTGTGTTTGATTCATGAGTGATATATCAGCAAAGATAAATGATATGAGGTTCTTATTTTATATTCTAGCTTATCCATATCAGTAATTTCAGTTCCTAATTCGTATGAAACTATAGACTTAGTATTTTGACATCACAAATATATAATTTGAACCAGTGCTGCATTCAACATACCACGTGACACACAAAAATCAATGTTTAACTGTTTTTTTATATTTAAAGAAATTAAATGATGTATAATACTAAAATCTGAATTATAATTTACAGTTTGATACCAAACTGAATGACATAAATTCATGAAATAGTAGTTCAATAAAATTTCCAATATAAGTCAACAAATGCGATTACAAGGCCTTTGACCCATGACCTGTCTGGAGAAGGTTAAAAAAACTCATGCACTCAGTATTATCAATAAAGGCGTGTATAAGAATATTAATATACACTGAATTAACTCATTTTGTACCACTAGGACAATGTGTGCATGTCATGGCATTTTACAGTGTCACATTCAAAATTTCATTATACAATTATATTATCAATGTAGGTCAATAAAATTGGCATAAAAGCATATTCTATAATTCATATTTTTATATTATCTAAGTTTCCACTTCTTAATTTCAAAAAGAAATATCTACAAACTCTTAAACTTCATTTTTTCTGTCTCATGATGTGTTTGAGCTCCGAAGTCTCTATTTAAAATATTCCTAAAATAGGCTACAGCAGTTTTCAACCAATCAGAAACAAACTATACATGATTAAGAATAATAACATCTAGAAAGCAGACAATGACCTATAACTATCGTAATTTTTCTGGCTTTCTCACTACGTGATAAGAGTCATTAAAACTTCAGCTAAGCTCATCAACATGTTTCCTCTGGGAATAAGGTTTGAACTGAAAGCGAAATAGAAAACTCCCTGTACAGAAAACAATGTAATATGTATCACTTGGTAGATTAAAACTTTGGCTTTCTTCTGGTTGTAAATAATACAGTATTAAATGTCAGAAAGAACTACTGACGATTTCTAAAAGAGAGGGTGTGACAGGTGGGCATGGTAAGAGGGGTCTGATTTTATAGTTTGTAGCTCTGCATCCAAATAAGATTGAAGACTATAAAAATTATGCTTTATCTGAGTGATAATAATATTACAAGGAGTAATTTACATTAAATTCCATGCTTCTTGGAAGAGTAGTAACTAAATTAGAAAAGAGGGAAGACCTGGAGAGCAAATGTCACAATTCTGATACTAAGAGAGATTGAGGATTTTTTAAAAATATTTCCTTATAAAACTAAGAAATTAGAATTTATTTATTATTAAAATTTGATTTATTAACTGTGTTTTGAAGCCAAGTTTATTCATATACAATAATAAAGTAGTTTAATTATATTTTGAATTTAACCCCAAAAAGTTGTATAGGCCATTGGCCTCTTTAATTCTGTTTAATTTTTCACCTGATTTATGGCCTTAAACCTATTTTGTAAACAACCAACCAACTATAAAATGTTGTGACATGCATTTTGACCTTACCCTAGCATGAAGGTGAAAGGCTGTTAGCTAATCAGCTTTACATGGCTGATGGACATGTTTACAACCAATAAAAAGAGCAGATCCTCCTCTATATCCTTTGGAACTTGGCAGGGTATCACTTCAGAAATATCTTGTCATGTGATCATTGTTATGCTGCTATGAACAGCTAACAGAATTTTTTTAAACCTTTCTATAGCCTATTTAGAAAGATGGATCAATTGGGGCATTCTAATGTGATAAATTTTTTGTGATCTAAAATGTATACTGGAAAGCAAAATTATTTCCCATTTTGGACACCCAAATCTGGGAGACTCAATGAGACTTAGGGGAAAACGCATTAAACATTTTTACTCAAATGCAAAGAGCTTGAATATGCAGTGAGTCCTAGAAATCTTTGGTTTTATGTATATTTTCTACTGGCTGTTATATATTTTTCGAACAAAAGTACCTAAAATGTAAGGATTCTAAACTTCTCAGCTTAGCCTAACAAAAGTTCTTTAATATGTTTAAAATTACACTAGCTCGAGCACCATACAAAATATGATACAAGATTAAATTAGCTGTATGTGAAATGCTAATGGGATCCATCTGTAATTTATTACTTTTTATGAAAATATTACTGTTTCAGTGATACAAATATGGAAATAAAATCATTAAATTAAAAGAAAACAGATACAAAAAGGTTAACAGTTGAAAGCATTAAAAGACAAGAACTTTGATTGATTTTATAGTCAGAACAGAGAAAAAATGGTATTATTCATTTTATTTTATATTTCTAAAACATTTTATTTCAGTGTACATCGATAATTTCTCTACAGTTAGGGTTAGGGTAGAGAAAATAAGAAATAAAATTTTATCAAGAAAACTTTTAACATTCATTTAGGAGGTTCTAGAGGATTTGTAAATGAAACATGAAAACTGTAAAATAAAAAGAAATATTATATTCTTAGCATGAAAATCATCTTTTACTCAGACTGACTCAATAAAGACTGAAATTCGCAGACAAGTCTTCAGTAGAAACACTTTATAAAAATATTTGGTTTTCACTTGTTAATAGTTACTATAAGCTTACCAAATTTTGTGAAGATACATATAATAAATGCAGTTATGAGGCTAAATCTACACTCATATACTACTATTACTAACAGTTATAAATCTTCATTACAAACACAGAGTCTGATTAACCAGAACTAATGTACTCATTCTTTTTCAATGTAACTTGTCTCAAACCAGAATCAATCCTACAATTCTTGTGTAGAGATATAATTTTTTCAATATAAATATACCATTTATTTTGGATAAAGTATAAAAAATAAAAACACAAACCTTAATTTTGAATTTTTGTTCACCAGTAATTTTTTGGAGGATGCAGAAATATTCAAACTTTGTGTATGCATACACAAAACTTGTCAGTGCACAAACAAGCCATCAAATCTCTGCTTTCTGTAGGTTTCTGCTGTTTAATTTTATCTCAAATAACTTAAAAGTAGGTAATTTTTGAATACAAAATGACAACAATTAATCAACTGCAATCTTTGTTTTATAAATTTCATATATTTGAAGAAACAAACACAAACATATAATCTGAATTCTATGATTATTTTCTTTCTTGCAGTCCACCACCTTTAAATCTCTGTTTTTCTTATTGTAGACAAAATTTCTAAATTTTTGTTAGTTTGTCAAATGCCTCTACTTGGTCACACATGCTCAAATAATCCAATAATTATTGAAAATAGGCTTATCATAACTTGTCTCATACACAGACATTACAATTAAATTTCATCAGTTCACCTTGATGTTTGTTTAATTTTTTTTTTTAGAAATTACTATCCTGGTGTATCTTCTGAATGCAATAAACTTTCATGGTAATTTGATAAACTATGTTGAGGAGGATTGAGTATGTCACTGCTCAAGACAAATGATGCTGGATTACTGCAGAATATTTTAAAATGTCCAACAATTTATAATTTCATAAAGAATTATGTAGAAGTGGTTAATAAATAATATATAGAAAAGTAAATGTTGTCTATTTATATTAGTTTTAATATTATAAAGTTATTAAAAAAAAATTACTTCAACAATGTGTGCCAATTCAAGAAATCATTATTCCTACTGTTGGTAGATGCAAGAATGTTTTCTGTCTGTCATTGAAAGAATGAAACAAATAATAAGATTAATTAAAGATACAGTAATTGTACTAAGTGTTCAATACAATATTATATGAACAATACAGCTATTTGTGAAATGATTAACATAACATAACAACAGAAATGTAATGAAGCTAGAGACATAGAGTATGTGTGTGGTCTCTTACATGCAGTTGTGAATTTCAGGTTCAGTTAAACAGTACACAAATATAATATAATATAACCAGGTAGAATGCAGCTATGTCAAAGATTGGTTTTTACTTAAATGAAAAAGACAAATGCTAAAAACTGTATAGTTTAGATACAGAAATATTCAATGGCTATTATACTTTACGTTTCAATTGAGAGTGTATCAAACATGGTGACATATGAAATATTATAGTTTGATCAATCCTTATTCACACAGAATCAGAAGTTTCCATAATGTTTAACACACCTTTGAACTAACAATACTAGCAGCAGATATTCCCAAAGAATTTCTTTACTAGGATTTAAAATAAAGTGATAATTTAAACTGATCTTAGTAGTTTTTCTGTACTCAAAATAAACTTAGAGTTTAGTCATTACTTACCAGTACTCATATATTCAGGATTAACAGATGCATACAGAACATCATCAGGAATTCTAGAAGCCAGTCTGGAATGCAAAATTATTAGAATTACTTAATACTTGATTTAATTATATTATATATAAATAACAGTTTCTTCCAAATAGAATCTGACAAGAAATTTTCTGTCGTACAAAAAGAAAAGGCTTTGCTCCTTTCATAGAATAAACAAAAGCTTGAACATAAGGATAATAAATAAAACTATTCAAGTTGAATTTCAGTAAGATTTATAATTAACCTAAAGAATACATGACATGTAGTTATCATATTAGATCATGAAGGCTAATAATGGTTTCTCCAGTAGGTCAATAAAGTATAAAACTACATGCATCATTCTTTTTTTTTCCTATTTTCCCATACATTAAATATATACTACTGAATATCAGACTACCATAACACTTAAACTGAGGCAGTGGGAGATAGTTTTTTCTGAACATTGTTATAATTGTTAGTCCTTAAAATATTAAAGAAGCAGAAGTATACTACTGATATGTTATTACTGAACATCTTTTTCAGTCAGAAGATTATTTAAACAATAATGAATGCTTATCCAAAAATTATCAAACATTATAAACACAAACAAGCTTTAAACAATATATAAAGCAATGACAAAAAATGTAACAAAAATCATTGTTATTTGAAGAATTATATATATTATAAACAGGTTCTACTTTCATAACCTTCAATATACACCTTTGAATTTTTTGCTTAGTTGAGCAGAGATTCTAAGTGACTCATGTTTCTGTTTAGTTTTCTGGGTTTTTTGAAGTCTTGAATTTCACTACACAGTTGTAAAAGTGTTAAAGTTCCACTTAACTCTTTCAGAATGAGCTCAGTCCTTAGGACTGACCTCGTAACCATTTTGTGCTTGTTATAGTT